GCATGCACGGGCAGCTGCTCGAAGGTCACCCGGGAGCCTCTCTTCTCCAGGCTGAACAGCCCCAACTCCTTCAGCCTGTCCTCGTAAGAGAGGTGCTCCAGCCCTCGGATCATCTTTGTGGCCCTTACATCCATTCCCACACATTAGGGCTGAGCAAGAAAACCAACTGCAGCTCTGGAAAGAGGCCACAACAACCTGCGCAGACCAGCAAAGCCCCAAGCCCCCATGGTCCGTCGCTGCTTCAAGCAAACCGCCCAGGACGCGGAAGGCGCTGAAATCACCTTGTAGGAGGCGGACGTTCCTTCGCACAGACCTTCTGCCAGCAATTCTCTCCACATTGGAGTCGTATTTGATGCCAAGTACTAAAACATCTCTCTCCTTCGGAGTAAAAATGCTTCAAACAAAAAAATCAGTTTTCCTCTTGTTTATTCTGTAATAACAGCAACTTGAAATATAGACCTGCGGTTTTTAATCAAATATTATATCCATGAGCTGTCCCTATACAAAAATAGCTATATAGGCAAAACCAATTACAGTAGGTTAGACTTCAGATTTTATTGGGTTTTTCCCAGCAGGCTTATTCGTCACATTTATATATATTCACACGGCTGTCCGACCTCTTTCACCACAACTGGGAATTTTTTCCATGTTATGGTACTCGTTTCACCCCACAGAAGTAAAATGTCAACAGCTGCTTGAATCAGCCTTGAAAAACCCTGTCTTGTTTGTACTTCAGAATTTGTTTTAACTTGGAATAGGTTCGTTTCTACACACAAAAATACAGGAACTATTTTGACAGCGATGCTTGACATGCTTCATTTAAGAACAAAAACATGTTTACTGCTGATCTTTCTTTTTTTTTAAAAAAAAACTTTTTTATTTCTGGAGATTTCATCATCTGGATTTAGGCTTATAAAGATAAAAGCCACTAAAAATAGGATGTTAGTACTGGCACAAATACCCTTGTCAGCAGTGTTTCTTTATTAAGACTGAGATTTGTTAACAAAAACTGGCAGCAGGATTGTAATTCTGTACCATGAGAGGCCTGGCAGCTCTGGGCTCGCTCAGGTATTCCCCTGAGGAGTCAAGACGGCAAGAACAGTTCTTAAGAGTTTTCCTCAAGCCATTCCAGTACCTGGCTACTGAAACAGAGGATGAGACTTCCTCTTTGGACCCTCTCATATTTACACAAGTAATTATCACGAAACATTCCTCCAACGGTAAACTAATTTATTACTAAGTTATCTGACAGCAGTGGCCCAGGTGTCATTTGTGGGGAGGCTCGGGAGCACCCATCCTGGAGGTATGGAGCTTCCTTCAGGGTGATCGGCGGGCACCAAGAACTGATCCCATTCGTGCCTTTAACAGAGAAAGCGGTGTTTGAGAGAAGAGCTGGTATGAGTTTGGTAATAACATTTGTTATATACCCACAGAGGTGTTTCTCCATACTGATCAATACACAAAACACCATAAATTGTACTCTGAAACTTGTTTCTCAGAACACAAATGTGAAAATGGCATGTACTACTCTATTAAATGGAATGGTTATGTGTGGAAGCGCACTCTGCCTCACACGGGCATCTGCCGGATGCAACTCTATCAAGGAAGAAGCCCGATCCTTAGCCCAGAAAACCCAGGACTATTCACTGCATACCCATATTGGGAAGTTAACGAACCAAAAGGGACCATAATTATACAATCTCGACAAACAACACTTGTCATCTTTGATAATAAAGAGTTTGTTTGGTTTTACCTGATCCGGATTAGAGCTGCCACAGAATGCTCAGCTTGTAAGTAATACTCTCTGAAGGGCTGCAATAGATGGGCTAAAGGAAATTCATCTATTAAAACACAAACATAGAAATCGTTCAATAAACCAGAAAGACCTTCGGTTCTAATAAGTCTTAGTAGCCCCAAATTTGCCAACTCATTTACTGCTCCCCAGCTATAACCTGAAATCACTTCCCTATGTGATATATCAAGGACTATTTAGACGTTTTGCACTTCTCATCCTAACCAGAGCTGCCAGAGCCAAGTCAAGACTGGCAAAACTTGTCCTGCCTCCATCCTCTAAACAAGGGGAACATATGGACACTGAATCTTTACGGATTACCCGAGTCGCACTTCCCAAATTGCCAGACTAAAGCATCTGTCGGGTGCTGGAAGTCTTCAGTCTATTCTGTTTATTCTCACTTCAGTTTAATCTACAACCTCCTCTTGCAAAACATTATGAAACTGGCTTGAGATATACTGCAGTCTATGCTGAAGAGCTAAACAGTTCTGCTTACACCACATGTGTTAACAGCACGCTACATTTATCCCATCTTATCCTTATTTATGCTCTTATCCTCAGAGCATAAATTACTCCAGCAGACGACTTCTTCCTCAACTATTTTTGTGCCTACACTTTAAACCCAGTGTCTATGAGATGAAAAAAAAAAACAACCCCAAAACATAAAGTACAGCATGCAGCATTTACCTGGATCCCCAAACAGCTTGGAATCAATTTCGAGTTTCTGCTGTAGTAGTTTTTCCATCTCCTTCTTCCGTTTCTTTTCCATTTCTCTCTTCCTTTCCTCCTCCTGTTCTCCCTCCAGCATAACTCTTAATGCTCTCTCCTCAGCTTCATACAGCTCTGTGCGATTTTTGAGCAACGTTTTGAGACTCTCCACCTGATTTTCAAATGCTTCATCTGCTGAAGGGGGTGGACAAACACCTAAACAGAAAGAGAACTGATTTTAAATTTTCAAATTCAGAAGGAGGTGTGTTATCAGACGCAGGAGTGGAGACTGCAGCATCTCAGAGAAACAGGAGCTTAACATTGCTAACAACTATCTTGGTGGAAAAATTCTTTAATCAAGCAACAGCTCGGAAATGCAGGCACGCGACCGCTGCATTCAGCACTGTATAGCTACTCCTGCATAACAATGTAACTATGCTCACCAGTAAGGAAACGGCTTTTTCAAGCTGCACCTTGCTAGTCAGTGCAGGGCACCCACACCATCTTATTTCCTGTGTGTGCAAGTCAAGAAGTTTGGTAAAAATCTTGCAATTAACCTTTCCTGGCAGCAGCCTCTTTTCTCAGTTTCCGAAGCTTTTCTAATCCCCGCAGAATGTCCACCATCCTCTTTGTATCTGCTTGCTTCTTCCTCACTTCAGATAAGACACTGTCTGCAGCAGCCTTAAGTTCTCGTTCCTATGAAAGCAAGAAAAAAAACAGACCAGACACGTGAAATACCCCATGTAGACAAGAAGTAAACGGTACTATCAAAAAGATTAATGAAGCATTCGAGATCAGAATAACTTCCTAGTACTACAGCCACAGCAAGTTAAGTCAACCACCCAACCTTGCCTTTTTATGAACAAGCTAAAACACGGTAAGATTTCAGGAAAACAAAATAAGAATGCTGAGCAACTCATAAATTTGGGCCAAAAGGCTAATGAATTGATAAGGCTCGATAACCTTTAACCACAAGAAGTTAGGAAAAACATACCATAAACCACCCCGATTCTGCAGCTCGGATACTCAAGACCATTAACACGCTGCAGTCTGAGGGCAGAGCCTTTCCCAGCAGCCGCTCCGTGCCACCCCAGCGGCAGACCTCGCACCAGAAGGGTAGCTCTTTACCCAACCGCCAGCACAAAGCCACCTACAGCACCTCCCAGCAAGCCTAATTCGGGGCAGTTCAGTGGGATTTTGTTGCTTTGGAGCTGTTTTACTTCCCGGTAAGACCAAAAAGCTTGCAAACAAGCAGCTTTGCAAGGATGCAGCCTGCAAGCAAAGGTTACAGTTACTGAACCAGCATTGAGTGCCGTAAGTAGTTGTGAGCAGTGTGGGGCAGGCTGACAGCTCCGGACGGAGAAGACGACCTCCAG